CGCACACACGCATGCATGCATGCATGTATGTAACGTACACACGAACGCACGCATGTACCATACGCACGCACACGCGCACAAGCCTAGTCTACACTAGCAAACTTCACCAAACTTTTGTTTGCAAACTTTAGCAAACTCCGAGTTTGCCAAAGTTTGGAGAAGTTTGTGATGCCTGTCCACACTATGAAACTTGAACAAACTTTGCAAAACTTATTTTGGGAAGTTTCTGAAAGTTTACATAAATTGGAGGGAAAAAGAGGCGATTTCCCTCCAATATGTCAAGAACAATGGAGAATCACATGAAGAGAGTATGTGTGAGTGGCTCAGCAGCAATTATTGCAATTGCTATTCAACGCCGCCGTCGTCGACGAAACCAAAACAAGCCACGATTATGGACCAGACCCTAGATTATGAAAAGGGACCAGTTTGGGGCCTATCATTGCCTGCTTCAGGAATTGAGGGCTTCAGACAGAAAAAGCCTAAAGAATTGCCTAAAGATTGTTCGAGGCAGAATCTGCTGCAATGCGGCCTTCGTTTTATCCCTGTCTTTATATTCTTTGAGGGTGATATTGTAAAGACATGGATACTTTTCATACTCTTGAATTAAATCAATAATTTCTTGGAAACTCCAGTCCCTGTCTGATTTCTTTACTTTACTGGAGGCTGCCATTTTGTCCATCTGCAGGATCACATGACTACAAACAGTCATTTGATTGGCTGAGTTGTTCCAAACCTCAGCAAACTAGTTTTGTCAAGAAGGTGCACGGCCTAACTTCTGCAAACTAGTTTGCCGAAGTTTGTCAACTGGTCTACACTGTAAAACTTTGGAAAACTTTTCTTGCCAAACTCGGAGTTTGCTCGAGTTTTCAAACTAAAGTTTGCTAGTGTAGACTAGGCTGTTACGTACTCACGAACGCACGCATGTACCATACACACGCACACGCGCACGCACACATAGGTGCGCTTGAGTGAGCGTGTGTTGCTGGGCGGCTACTGTGGGTGTATAAGGTACTTACCTGTTTGCGGCAGGGGCGGTGTCGACTTGGCTATACCTACGTGCATCTACGTGTAAGCTCTGCCTGCGACTGCAACAGAAAAATAAGCGAGCAAAGTTACAGATGCCTGCTCGAGCTCTTTCTTTCTCTATATTTATCTATCTCTCTCTGTCTTTCTCACTCTTTCTTTCGTATCTCTCTCTCTCTCTCTTCGTCTCTGTCTCTCGCTTTCTTTTTTTCTCTCTCGCTCTGTCTCTGTCTTTCTCTCACTCTAGAAGTCTCTCTCTCTCTCACTATATATCTCTCTCTCGCTCTTCTCCCCTCTCTCTCCCTCTCTCTCTTTCTCTCTCTGCTCTCTCTGTCTTTCCCTCACCCTATAGGTCTCTCTCTCTCTTTCAACGTCTTTCTGCCTCTCTCTCACTATATATCCAGGGATGAAATTCTTCCGCGGATCCGCGGAAATCCGCGGATTTGACAGTCCCAGGGGTCGATTTTGTGAAAGGTCTAAATTCGTTGAGAAAATTGGGAGGGGGGTAACAATGTAACAATTTAAATTATATAAGGGCTGGTTCCACACGTATACACGGCTTAGCTGGTCACCGGTACTTAGTTGGTGTCTAAGTCCGGTTAAAATTGCGTTCACACGAGATTACACGAGATTCGAGGCTTAGCTAGCTCGGTATAATATAGACTGGTACGCCGCGTTCGACAGTTCCACACGCTACCCTAACGTCGTGGCAGCGAACGGGCTAGCAGTCTAGGTTAGAGCGCTACAGTCTTCGCAATTCACACGAACAATGCGTTCACAATGCGCGGAACAACACGAACGAATGGGTTCGCACACGACAATCAATACGCGGCCAGCGTGGTGCCTGAATATACGCGCTTAGTTGCGCGCGGAATATGATTCGCGCGCTTAGCAAGCGCGGAGCAATCGCGCTAAGCAAGCCGTGGCTAAGCGAAGCCGCGTATATTTAGGCGTGTGAACGGCAAGCTTTTTCTCCTCGTATCACCACGTATACACGGCTTAGTGTGAGCTGGTGTGTCTGTAGTAAAACAATGCAAGGCGACGGTGGAACAGAAAAATATCATTATGTCTAGACATTTAAAAAAAAAATACACCTTGCCTTCTATTTCAGCCGGCCGCTGATTTCCTATTATAGTTCGTGTTGTTCGCCTTTGACCAACTTGTATAAGGTGATTACATGGAGTCTCCTATGCTTTCTTTTTAGAATGACCAATTCTTTCAACAAAATCCGGGGGAGCATGCATCCGGACCCGAGCCCGTAGCATGGCGATGACCTACCGGTCCTCGCAATTGCTCGCTGCCTCTGTTTGCTAATTAAAGTTTCAGCTGAAAATTAAATTATCCAATCTCATCCCTGTATATCCTCTCTTTTCTGTTTTTCTTCTCTCTGTCGTCTCTCGCTCTCTCTGCCACTGAGCTGTACATTGCGGTCGGTGCGTCAGAGATAGGTCAGCGCGCGCCACACGCGTGCATGGTGGACATCAGTATTATCGTGAAGCTGTCCGTCATGGCAGGAGGTGTGGAGTGTGGCGGGAGGGTGGGGCGGTGCGTTGAGGGTTGGGGCAGTGCGGGAGGTGTGGGGGCGGGTGCGGGAGGTGGTGGGAGGGTGGGGCGCGGTGCAAGGGTGGTGGGAGGTGGGGGCGGTGCAGAGGTGGTGGGAGGGTGGGCGGAGGCAGGAGGGATGGGTGTGTGGGAGGGGGGGGCTAGTGCGGGAGGTGGGGCTTAGCATGGAGGTGGCTGAGGGTGGCGGAGTGCTATGGAGGCGGTGGAAGGGTGGGGCCGGTGTGGGAGATGGCAAGTGCGGAGGTGGGGGCAGTGGCGGGAGGTGGTGGGAGAGGTTGGGGACGGTGGCAGGTGACATGCAGGAGGGTGTGGGCGGTGGCAGGAGGTGGGGGCGTGCGGGAGGGTGTTGGGCAGTGGCAGGAGGGTGGGGCGTGTGCGGGAGAGTGGGGCAGTGCGCAGGAGGGTGGGAGCGGTGCGGGAGGTGGTGGAGGGTGGGGCAGGGCAAGAGGCGTGGGGCGGTGTGGGAGGTGGGGCGCCGTAGCGGCGGAG